CTTAGCCACCCAGGGGCTAAAATGTTACAAATGGGGACCGTCACGGACCAGAGGCCCGAGCCCCAGCATAGAGGATCACCAGTGTAATACAAATGGCAATGATTCGCGGGCCACTTGCTATGCCTCTGTGGGTCGGATCTGGCCTGCGGGCCGTCAGTTGAATAACCCTGACTATGAGTTGTGGAAATTGAAAGAGTTAACTATGCCATATTTGGAATACAACCACTGGACGGTAAATTTCACAAACAGTATCTATACCAGGTGTTGGAATACAAAATAAATTAAAGCCAACACAAATTTAACGACAGATGCTGGCGTTCAATTTTTATTTTCCGATTCTCTAAAGCGTTTTCCATTTTTGGAGATTTTTTCTTCATGGACTGCAGGCATGCGCAGAGTATCACATCCGGCCTGCTGGTGTGTGTGTTGTTGCAGGGCCTATGATTCCACCCACTTAAAGTTTTGGGAGTTTTTGTCAGGGAATTCATGCAAACTTTTGTTGGTTTTCCCCACAGTTTTGTCGTATAACACAGGTGAGTGACGGTTGTAGCTGTGCTTGTTTAACGGAAGCGATGAAACTTGGTTGTCTATGTTTGAAATGAAAATCAGTATGTGGAGCTGCAAATAACTGCATACTTTAGTGTTGAGAAACGCCAAAGTTGGGAATCGCCTGGTTTCTAAGTTTCTCAGGTGCACATGACCGGGGGAGATCCCTCTTCTTGCAAGAATAGTGCAGCATGTTTATCTCCTTGCTTTGTTTGATATTTAAAAAAAAACTCAAATGCCATACCTTATAATTCCGAAGATAAGATTTTCATTAAAATTAAAAAATCATTTATGATATTATTATCATTATAAGAAATATATTTAAAGAAATTTGAATTGTAAATTATAATATTGTAATCAAATCAGTCAATACAGTCACTGAACATTATTCTGATTCTAATAACATTGTCGTTACCCTCGTGAGGGTTTTAGGTCCCCTTCATTAGCGTGGGGAAAATAGACTTATCACCCCCTACCTAAAAAAGCAAGTAGTCTGCTTACAGATAAGCCAGCTCTTTAAAACCATTTTCAAAACAGATTTGCGGATAAAATTCAAGTTCTTGGAGAAGCGGACAAACAACCAGAACTTTCTCCTGGAGTTTACAGGTAGTGAACACACAAAAACGAGGGACAAACATTAATTATTTCAGACCCAAATATAACAACTTACTATGAGTTTATGAATCCGTTCAGATATAATATAATTGACCAGCTGTCTTCTATAACAGAAAAATGGGCGCTCCTCCGGATAATGGATCTGAAGGTTCGCGTCCAAAAATATAACCTAACAGGGCCTAAATGGTGTGTAAAATTAAAATTAGGATGTCTGTCTGGCGAATACACCCTGGGCAGACGGCAAATCGCGCAACTAGTCCCGCTTTTGTAATGTTGCTTTCCTGTTTGGGGCCCTATAATAGGGAAAACAAGAATAGACCCACTGCCTACCCAAAAGCATATCATAAGAGTAAACTAATTGGGAGCTTCCTTCGAAGTCGGAGTGCATCTGCCTGAGAGCAAGAAACTGAGTTATGAGTTAGATTATTGATTATCTTCACAGCACTCCGGACACATCCATAGTTAATAGTATCAGTCCTATGTTGGTTAACAAGACTTCGTGTGCGTCCAGTGTGCTTCTCATGCTTGGCTGTGCCATCTGCATATAGACTCGTCAGATCTGTCAAACAGATGCACATGCAACACTCAGGTTCTGGAACAGGACTGCAATCCAGAAGTGGACAAACAACCAGAACTTTCTGTCAGAGTTTACAGCTGATGAACGTGAAGAAGAAGTAATGTTGCACCTGTGTAATTTGCATGCATAACCTGTCATCATTAGTGTCGCGGCTGGACTGTTGCGACTTTCTGGTGACGTTGCCGTGATTGTAATACTTGTTGCCCTTAACCTAGGACCCAGGGGAGAAGTTAAACCTAGGACTCAGGGAAGAAGCTAAAACTTAGAACCCAGGGAAGAAGTTACACCTAGAACCCAGGGGAGAGGTTAAACTTGTGACCCAGTGTCGGAGCTGATGGTCTGCCTGCTATGGTGATAATTGCATGATCATTTTTGTGTTTTGGGAAAATATATCCCGAAAGTAATCCTACTTTTGCCGCAGTGTACTCGCCAGAAAAGATTCCGCAATTTACATATGTTATTGTATATTTTTAGATGTGATGGTTCAGATCCATCATTCGAATTAGAGCCACAAAATGTTATATCGTTCCCATTGTCTGGATTACTAGCTTAACTTCTGATATCTCAGTAATGTCTATACTGAACTCCTTAGGCTCAAATTATTTTAAAACTGTGCTTTAGTCAAATTTTTAGAATCGTCTGACACTAATAAAACCAGTACATTTAGATAGCTATTAAAAGTCTCTCTTCAGAAAGATCTAATTTATGCCTGTGTGTCAATCCTAAGCAGAGATATCAAGGTTTTTATGGAATGAGGCACAAAGAAGAAAAAAATTGATAAACAGCAAATAGACAAATGTAAAATTGGATAGAGAATTCAAAATTACTGTCATTATGATGTCAAATAATGTTGAGTTCTCAGTATAAAAGTGAATACTTATCACTATTTTCAGTCAGAACATCAAAATAGTAAAACAAAACAAGCTAGGCTGATTGAACACATGATTTCAAGTAGGAATTGCTATCTGTGTTTTCCTTATTTATAAATAGTCAGGATCTCATGTTTCACGAGATTTTTAAAGAGATTTGGACCCACCCTGAAACAGACCGAAGTTTCCCAAATTAGTTTTCACCAGTTACTGAGGCCCGCAAATCACCCAAAATACCGAAAATTTTCTAAAATCATACTCGCTATTCAAACTACGCACTCTGGGGTTTAAGGAGTTTCAGTAAAAACATAATGTAATGGCTTTTTACTTTAATTTCAGCATCAGCTAGTTGAATCTAGAATTCTAATCTTTTGTAATTTAAATTATATCGTAGTCACTTAGTGCAGTAGTTACTGTAGAGGAACAAAACTCCAACTCTACAAGAGCATCATTTTGCCAGTTCTTCTTTATGGAGCAGAATGCTGGAGAATGACAAAAAAGGATGTACACAAGCTGTCCACCTTCCACAATACATGTCTACGTAGAATTATCAAAATTTTCTGGCCAGATACAATCTCAAACACTAGTGCCAGATCTGGGCCTTGATGTATTTAGGACATATGTAAAGGACCCTTTCTTATATCAGGAGCACATCAGACACATCATATGTGACTGTCTTCTATTTTCTTAATGGCAAATAGCAGCAGTGTTATTTTGTGAGGGTTGTGATTTCTTTCGGATTGTTCTGTTCCTTATCATGGACTGCTGTTTTGTGTGCATTTCTGATGCAGGACACAATCTATTTTTGGGTGGAGTGGTGTGGTTGTGCTGTGTCGAGGCTGGATGATGGCAGATATATTTGGCAGCCTCTACCACGCTGCCTTTGTAATGTTTTGGTTGTGGCCACCGACTGTCTGGGAAGACATATTCTGGTCAGCAGGAGACTGAAACTGTCTAAAAAAGCAAACTCGATAAAAGCTGTCCCCAGAAACGGAATGTGTCAACCAATGCTTGGGTGGGGAAGAATCAATACATACAGTTAACTCAGTGGCCATGGCCATATGTGACTCAAGTGTTTATTATAGGCAAGTCGGCTTTCTTTGCCTAATATGGTCAGTGTTGTGCCAGCTACCTTTACTTCCCACGACATTACCTGGTACCCATTTTAGGCTGGGTCAACCTGGGAGTCAAGGTCAGTTTTGAAGATTTAAAAAAAAAAATCCATCCCAAAGCAGACTTCAACCCAAGACCTTCAGACTTGGAGGCGGAGCATGTAGCCTATATTGATAGTGTGCCTCCCACTTCGGTCAAATGTGCTTGCCCCCGATTTTATTGACCATTTAGGGCACAGATGAAATCATTGTGCCAGACTTGCCACTTTTTTCCTGCCTGGATAGTCCTCATGCCCATTTAAAGGCTGTGTCTAACGTAGTGTCTGAGTGGTCAGGTCTTGGTCAGATATGACTGAGCTACCACATAACAGTAGTCAGTACTGCTTGTTTGCTGTTAATGCTGAATGATAGGCGGCATGTACCAAACCTGACATACCACATTGTATACCACTTATCCCAGGAAGAAGGAATGCAAACTGAAAACTTGATGTTATTGCAAGACAAACCAGACCATTAGGCCTTGGCTGGCAGCTAGTCTAGGAAAGAAGCTCTGAAACTTGGGCAGATAGAGCATAGTAAAAAAAAAAAAAAAAGAAAGTAAGTAAAAAACATACAGCTCATCACAGAGATCAGAAAGGAGCAGTCAGTCTCTCTTTGAAGGCTAACCCTGTCAAAAAAAATGCCCGAAGAAGTCAGATGTGTCGGCTTAAAGGTGCAAATAAAATCACAGCTCTGATGCAGACACAATACAATGATTACATGTAAAAACAGAAATTATTGGATAAGTAAAGCGAAAAAGAAACATCTTAACAAAACTACTAGGGTTCGCTCGTGGAAGTGAACTTAGGTTTCAGCTCCTGGAACAATTCAAGATAGGGAATTAACACCATTCTGCTTCAAAGCACCCCGAACGTTCTTGACAAGAATCATTGCCTCATCGTTTCAGTTCTGCAGTAAGCTGCCGCGGCAGGTTACATGATAATGACATGGTTATTGTAATTTCTAATACACTTTTAAGGTTGTTGTTTGAAGCCTCCTTGTACATTATAAGGCTGATGATGATAATTGCTAGGATAAAGTTTAAGCCAAAATGATCAAAGCTCAGCTGTAAACATATGATGCTACATCTGCCTTATTCAAAAGCAGTTTGGTCCTTAAGAAAGAGAAATTTACTGTTAATGAACATTCACTAACTAGCTCTTTAAATTGTGTAAGTTTTTGCCTTGTTTGTTTTGTTTACTTTGCTTTGAAACTTTTAAATGTTACTTTTATTCCAGAGTAATGGCTTTTATGAGGAAAAGTAAGTTTCGGCATGTATTTGGTCAAGCTTTGAAACGGGATCAGTGTTATGATGCCATCCGTGTAACTAGAACATCTTGGGAATCAACATACTGTGCAGTTAATCCAAAATACCTTGCTGTGATTACTGAAGCTGCTGGGGGAGGTTCCTTTCTGGTGTTACCCCTACAAAAGGTGGGTTTGAAATAACAGTTTGATCTCTTCCATTAACCTAACCACTTCAGAATTACTCAATTTTTTTTTTGTCTGTGTATGTTTGTTTGTTTTAGTATCCAGAAGCCATGAGTTGTTAACCCTTAGGCTCAGTATTATTGATATCGCAACCTTTCGGCCTTGATTCCATTTTAAATACCGTAAATCTGGGAGAAAATGTGGCTTTTCTGCCCACCCCCGGGAGTGAATCCGGACCACAAGGAGTTCGTCACCCGTTCACCGCGCAATCCGGTTTAGCCAACTAAGCTAGAGAGACAATATGTTTTCCCAGATTTTCTGAACTTCAAATTGGGGGGGGGGGGGGGGTCGTCTTATGTAAAGAATGTTTTAAACTATTATTTTCTAATTTTGGGCTAAAAAATTGGCGACAGTGTTTACGGTCATTATGTGAATAAAGGACTTTTTACACCATTGACGCACTAGGCATAAAGGACTGGGCTAATAGTTCACTTGCCAGGATATTCCCTGACACCCATTTTAGGCTGGGTAAGTCAGGGAGCCTATTTATTTTACTTCCCATTCACTGGCTGTAAATGCTAGCGGACAGTTCTGGTTCTTCATTACCTGTGGACTTTAATTATGTTCCAAAACCTGAGTTTTGCATGCACATCCATTTTACAGATCTGGCTTATTTGTATGCAGACTGTTGGTTCCTAGCCTTTCAGCAGATTCAGTCTGACTTCATAATTAGTTGACTGTTACGACATGCTTTGGGGGGAAGGGGGGGGGGGGGGGCAGTGGTCTGTTACACCACCACCCCCCCCCCCCCCAGTGGGGTCATAGTGAGGGAGCCTAGTTGGATTAGGAAATACTACAAATTGAGATCCAATATTGTGGGGGCAGCAGACTTTTAGCTGCTGCACTCTTCATAAGCCTAAGGATTGTCAGATGCTATATAGACCAAGCTTACTCTATGATGCAGTGTGTGTTGCTCGATCCTTCACTACTTTGATGTGCAGCTGGGAGTTTTCCTTGTTTGGGTGTGAGACCGTCATGGCTTGTCTCATACCCTCTAGTACTGTTTAGATGCTTGATGACCTGAAGTACCTGAATCATTGGCAAAGAGGAACATCATCAGTGGAATTGATTCCAAATACCATGGACCAACATTTCTAAAGAGACACCATGGGCTGTTATTCCCATACCTGTTACCCCCTTGGCAGTAAAGCCGAGATAGGAGACAATATAACCAGCTTCTCATGGGAAGAATTAGTAGAAGTACCTTGGAGTGGCTGCTGCATCGGAGGACTGAGCACACATAGGACATCGATTGTGAAAACATAATTCCTATACCTCCCTGCAGCACAATATAACGCTATTGTCTGAAACAAAGGGAAGGTGCCAACGGTGAAGGTTGATAGATGCCTTGTACACTATAACAATTCAGAATAAAATGTAGCCTCTCTGATGTGTCCCCCACCTTGGAGTGGTACATTTTTTGATATTATTTAGTGAGAAAACGTTATTTGGAACTTGTCATGTGATCATTATATTGCCAAGCGAAAAAGAATAAAAAGCCTCATAAATCACACTAAATCAGAACGTCAGAAAGACAAACTAATGTTAGAATATAGCGAACTAAATAAAATGACCAAGAAAAGTGCCAGAGCTGACAAAAGAAGATTTATCGAAAATCTTGCAGAAACAGCAGAAAATGCTGCTAAAACACATGATCTACAAACCCTACACAAAATTACCCAGCAAATTTGCAGAAACAGAAATAACTATCACAGCATACCCATCAGAGATAACCAAGGCAGACTGCTCACCACAGAACAAAAACAAGACATGCAGTGGACTAAACACTTCTCCGACCTCTTGAACAGACCTGATCCTGAAAATACCCCAGAAATTCAACCAGCCTCTCAGGACATTGACATTATTACTGAACCACCAAGCAAACAAGAAATCCTTAAAGCTATCCACACTTTAAAGAACAACAAAGCACCAGGCAAAGACGAATTGTCAGCAGAACTTCTCAAAGTAGATCCCAACGCAACTGCTAGCATTCTAGAACCATTGTTCAAGGATATTTGGGAAAAAGAAGTGTTGCCTGATGACTGGACTGAAGGAACAATAGTCAAAATCCCCAAAAAAGGAGATTTAACAGACTGCAATAATTGGAGGGGAATTACTCTACTCTCAGTACCAAGCAAAATATTTTGTAAAATCCTCATAATGCGGCTTGAAAAAAGAGTAGATAAATGCCTACGAGTGGAACAAGCAGGATTCAGAAAGGGCAGAGGAACAACTGAGCACATCTTTGCCATACGTAACATTTTAGAACAATGCAACGAATGGCAGAGAAGTATATATATATTAATTTTGTGGACTTTGAGAAAGCTTTTGACAGCGTCCATAGAGACGGTCTATGGAAAATTTTACGACATTATGGAATTCCAGAAAAAATAGTCAACATAATTGCTCTCCTCTATAAAGACTTGTCCTGCAGTATAAAAAATTACAATACATCTTTCCCAGTAAAGACGGGTGTAAGACAGGGATGTGTTATGTCATCTCTCCTCTTCAACCTTGTGATTGATTGGATACTAAAGAACACAGTAGACAGGACATTAAGAGGCATACGATGGACTCCAGTCACCATGCTTGAGGACCTTGATTTTGCAGATGTTATAGCACTCCTATCACATAAACAAGAACATATACAAGAGAAAAGTAACAGACTAAACTGCACAGCAGAAATGGTGGGACTGAGAATAAATACAAAGAAAACTAAGATCATGACAGACAGTACAAACCAACAACCAGTGACCAAAGTAACCAATCACTTGAAAATGTAGAACATTTCACATATCTTGGCAGTGTGGTGTCCCTACTGGGAGGGACAGAGGAAGACATACAGTCACGTCTGAACAACGTTAGAGCTGCTTTTTGAAGGATGAGGCAAATCTGGAAATCCAACAATTACTGCAGAGGAACGAAACTCCAACTCTACAAGAGCATCATTTTGCCAGTTCTTCTCTATGGAGCGGAATGCTGGATAATGACCAAAAAGGATGCACACAAGCTGTCCACCTTCCATCACACATGTCTACGTAGAATTATCAAAATTTTCTGGCCAGATACAGTCTCAAACACTAAACTACTTCAAACCACAAACCAAGAAACTTTAGACAGTATGATTACCAAGAGAAGATGGAAATGGCTTGGCCACGTTATGAGAATGACTTCTGATATACGTGCCAAAACAGCTCTCACATGGATACCAGAGGGAAAGAGAAAACAGGGGCGCCCAAAAACAACATGGAGATGAACGATGGAAAGTGACCTAAGTGCGGCATCTTTAACATGGAAAACTGCATTGAAGATTGCACAGGACAGGAAAGCGTGGAAAGTCCTCTCTGAAGCCTCATGTGCCACTAGGCATAACGAGAACTGATGATGATGTGATCATGACATTACTTCCCTTCACCTAAAAGCAGTACTGGTAAATTTAATGGAAGAAGGTTTAAAAAAAAATATTTTTAGTGGATTAGGGCGATGGAGCTATCACAGTAGCCAAGCTTGCCTGTCTGCTAAATCAGTCATAGGCTTTAATCTCCTAGACCAGTGGCTCTCAACCTTCCTAAAGCTGTGACCCTTTATTGCAGTTCCCTCATGTTGTGGGACCCCCAGACAATTAGTTTATTTCATGACCAATGAATATGTGTTTTCCCGATGATCTTAGGCGACCCCTGTGAAAGGGTCGTGACCAGTAGGTTGAGAACCGGTGTCCTAGACTTTTATAAAAACTGACCAAAACTCCACAGATTTCTTCTGCTTCTTCTCTTCCCTCTAGTTTCTCAGGGCAGAGTTTCAGAGAATTAAAAAGATGAGTTTAAATTTAAAAAAAACTAAAGACATTTTTTATGTGAGTTTCTTACGGTGATAAAAGATTAACATAACAGTGCATTGTAATTTGCTACAGGACAGATAAGTGTAGGTCCCTTTCCCATTCCTTACATTGTAGTGAGTGCATGGTGCTGACTATGATTATTGACTAACTGGCTATGGGTGGTATGGTTAGTAGCAGGCCTTTACATCCCAGAACATTTTCAAGGACCCATTTTGATGGAAATAGTAGACCCACTGCCCCCTGACTGACTAGGGCTGTTTCTTTAGAAGAAATCTAAAAAGTGGGTTAAATGTCTGAGTGGCAGTGAACCAACATTCTGCATATAATTAGCCAGATCTGTAAAATGGTGTGCACACATAACTCAACTTCTGTAACAAGACAAAAGTCCAAAAGTTGATGAACAACTTATACTTTCACCGGAGTTTACAGCCGGTGAGCACTAAAAAGAAGAAAGACTGGAAAAATGGAGTCCAGATTATTGTTTTCAGAATTGCAGTGTTATTGGGGATTTGAGTATGTGACCACTGAGCTGATGGGGAGGTTTGCTGGCTACTGCACTATTGGCCTGCATGTTACTGTGATCTGTTAATATTGTTTACATTTGTTTGCTGTTAACTAGCTAGAGGGAGCGTTATCAAAGTGAAACAAGTGGAGAATATGAAGTACATGTCAGCTTTGAACAATTAACGTTGACAATAAACAAAGAATGTTGCGGTGACTAGCCTTCATTAGAAAACAATGAAAAAAACAACCAAAAGACAACAGGAAGAGTGAAATGTTGCTGAAATAACTACATTGATGTGTAACAATATTACGTTGACACTTGTTTTCCTGCATTAAGCATTTTAAATTCTTTGTACACATATTCTATATGTTGACCTAATATTGTAAGGCATTAAAGTAGTGATTTCAGCGGCATATCACTCGTTACGTTGTGTCATGTTTTGTTCCTTTTTGTTGTTTGCTGATGAGGAAGGCTTGTATCCACAACATGCTTTGTTTATTTAACGTAATTACAGAAAATAGAGACTTTAGAAAAATTCTTAGAATACCATGGACAGAGAATAAAACAAATACCAGCATCCTAAAAGATCTAAACATGAGGGAAGATTGGCTAGTAAACAGCAATTTGTCCTGGTTACTGAAATCTCTTGGTCATATCTAGTGCCACAGTGGATTGGACACAATAATAGCAGAAGGCATGGTACCAGGAAAGAGTGGCAGAGGCTGACCAGCACAGAGACGGGCACAGGCAAAAAGTGACATTGGGTAGAGAAGTGCAGGAGGTGGGAGAGCTGACAAGACACTTGAGTTTCTTTCAGGCAGACAGTGATGAGAGCGGACGTTCTGCAAAGGACCTTTATGATGATTCTTATTTTGTAAAGCTGACCTGTGCTTTGTGTTTTCCTATTGTTTACATGTTGATAGCATTACTTCACCACAACCTGTTTCCTGGCCAAAGAGAATTTGTGGAATGTTTCAGACAGGAAGAGTCAATATGGACCATCCCATGGTGGCGGGTCACAAGGGCGCTGTGTTGGATATTGCATGGTGCCCTCACAATGATGATGTCATAGCCAGCGCTTCAGAGGACTGCACTGTCAAAATCTGGCAGATACCTGAGGGTGGCCTTAAAGAAAACCTGACAGACCCGGTGGTGGATTTGACCTCCCATCAGCGGAGAGTGACACTGCTAGTCTGGCATCCAACTGCTATGAATGTTCTGCTCAGCACAGGTAAGTTCTTCTGCCTGTTTGTCCATTATTTTGTGTGAGTTCTAAAATACACCCCATGTGGGTTGTGGGGCTGCAAATTTATTATTATTATTGGGGGGGGGGGGCGCAATAATAGACCCATTGCTCCTTAATCAAGCATATCATAAGAGGCAATTCCCTGTGAGGGTTCTGGGGCCCATTGTGAGGAAAAACAAGAATAGACTTACCACTGCTTACACAAAAAGCATGCCGTAAGGGTTGGCTAATTGGAAGCTTCGTTCTAAGTCAAAGTGCATCTGCCTGAGAATCAAAGAACCAACATTCTGCATACACATCAGTCAGATCTATAAAATGGATGTGCGCTCGACGTGTTCTGGAACAGGACTGGAAGTCCAGAAGTGGACGAACAACCAGAATTTTCCACCAAAATTTACAGCCACAAAGAAGATAAGCAGCGACTAAGTAAGGATTTGCTGAAATAACTTTAAACCACAATTTTGACCAGTACCATCAATATTGGAACTCTGCGCTGGCTCCTGAAGATAGGGAGGGAGCACACATGGGAATGCCCACAGTGCTTTGATGTCAATTCTTGACTCAACTAAACTGTAAACCACAATACAGTTGCTTGCTTCTTGTAAAACAAAAAAGATAATTCGATCTCGTTCAGATTTTTCAGCTCTTTATGGCTGATGTCTATAATTGTGATCTTTATTGGGTAGGACAGGTTCAGATATGGTTTCTTTTGGTTCCGTTTTGTCTTGTTATACTGGACGTTTTAATTGATGTTGATTCTTCCTTGTAAAGTATTGTTTATACATGGTGTTGTTGTCTACGGAGGCATGGGTCTTCTATTTCTTTATTGTGTCACTTAGTTTCGTTCCCAGCCCTGTCAGGACACATCTGGAGGTAGTTTGTATTTCGGTTCCATCCTGTCGTCGTCTTGCGAGCCTTCTGATTGGTTGTTTTTGTTGCTGTTCTTCCCGTCTCCTTTCCGCTCTGTCTTGGTACGATCTGGGTTTCTGGAGTGCAATGGTGGTTAGTCCTTTCAAGAACTTTTGTGTAATATTGTCTAGATATCACCTGCCTCCATTCATCTCTCTGGTTAGCCATCTCTTTCCAGTTGGTAACACCAAGTGTTTGCAGGTCTGTCTGGATATTATCTCTCCATCGTCTTCTTGGTTTCCCTTATGGTCTACGACCATTCATCTCCCTGGTATATACAGTTTATACTTCTCTGTCATCTGACATTCTTTCAATATGCCGCAACCCTTTCAGTCTATCAGCTCTCATGATGTCAGTGGTCAGTGGTGATTTAAACAGATTGATTTAGGGGAGTAATCAGTAAAAATGGATGCTTACTTGATTCTGTAGCTGGTCGCTCAATAACCATTGCAGTCAGTGGAAAATACATGACATGGACATTTCTATAAATAAAGCCTTCTTTTAAAAAGAGGAAACTCGCCCATGTGGATTCTGGGGTTCCATTATGGGGAAAACAAAAATAGACCCACTGCCGCCATAACAAGCATGTCGGAGGATCCACCTAGTTAGGGACATACTTCAGAGTTGGAGTACATCTGCCTGAGAGGCAAAGAACCTGAAGCCTGCAAACAAATAAGCCAGATCTGTGAAACCGATGTGCATGCAACACTCAAGTTCTGGAGCAAGACTAAAGTCTGGAGGACGAACACCCAGAACTTTCTGCAGGAGTTTACTGCTGGTGAATGCAAAGAACCAAAAGACCATAGATGACTGTCACGATGAAATTATCCTCCTAGGAGATCTAAATGCCAGAGTAGGAAATGATCACTCTAGATGGGGTGGAGTGATCGGGAGATATGGTGAAGATGTTTTGAATGATAATGGCAAGCGACTTCTCAGATTCTGCAGGGAACAGAACCTTGTCATTACAAACACGAAATTCCCCCACAAGCGTATACATGCATACACAAGATGTGAACCTTCAAAGAATGAAAAATCCATCATTGACTACGCCATAGTTAGGAAAAGTTCATTCAAGTTTGTGATAGATGCCAGAGTCATGAGAGGACCAGAGATTGGAAGTGACCACTATCTGGTCACAATAAAGAGAACAACTGAAAGAACTGCTCCAACAAGGCAAACACCGACAACTATGCAAGAAACAAAGCAACCAAGAAGGGATGAGGATTAAAGCATACAAGCTAAGAGAGCCAGATATTAAGGCTAGATACCAGGAGCTTATAGTGAAAGCAATAGGAACTGAAGAAGAACCATCAGAGGACACTGAAACCCTCTGGTGCAGATTCAAGAATATCCTCACAGCAGCTGCAGTAGAAGCATGTGGTGAAGTCCCAAGTGGAAGGCGGGGACACAGGACACCTTGGTGGACAGAAGAAGTCAAATTGAAAATAGGAGAAAAAGAAAAGGGCATGGAAGCAATACCTGGCAGCCAGGAACACAGCTGAAGAAATAGAAAAATATAAACAATATGTGGCACTCAGAACAGAGACCAAAAATATTGTGCTTAAAGCAAAACAGAAATCATGGGAAGAGTTTGGAGAAAAGTTGGAAAAGAATGCAAGAGAAAACCAAAAACTGTTCTACAAGACCCTTAAGAACATGAGGAAGGAGAAAGAGTGCCCACTTAAATTCATAAAAGACAAGAAGGGGCTCTGCTTACTTCTACAAATGATATCATGGGCAGATGGAAAGAATACTTCTCAGAGCTCCTCGGCGCTGAGGGAAGTCATGACCCAGAAATAATGGACCTCACTGCTGAGAAGGAATTCAATCATGTGGAAGATAACATCAGGATGGAAGAATTGAAGGCAGCTATTGAGAAGATTAAGCTGGGAAAAGCAGCAGGTCATGATGGTATAACACCAGAGATGGTCAAATATATGGGAGTCGAAGGTGAGCGCCTTCTACTGAAGGTTCTCCAGGCAGCCTGGTGTAGCAAAACTATACCAAAAGATTGGGAGATTGCCATAATTATACCTATATTTAAAAAAGGTGATAACAGACAATGTGAAAACCACAGAGGCATATCCCTCCTCAGCATCCCCGGTAAAAGTTACTCTAGAATTCTTGAGCAGAGACTTAGAAGTCTGGTAGAGCCACAGCTGGACGAGGCCCAGTGCGGCTTCAGAGCAAACCGAAGTACTCAAGACCTTATCTTCACACTGAGACAGATGAGTGAAAAAGCCCTGGAATATAAGAGTGAGATTCACTTATGTTTTTTGGATCTGGAAAAGGCATTTGACAAGGTACCCTGGAACAAGCTCTGGGACTGCTTGGCAGGGAAAAACATCCCAGCACCCCTGATCAGTGCAATACAGAGTTTCTACAAAAAGTGCAGAAATTATGTAAGAACAGCAGACCAAAAGTCAGAAGAATTTAAGACCACCAGCGGTGTTAGACAAGGTGATATTCTCTCACCTTACCTCTTCATTCTTATGATGGATGATGTCATCAAGACCTGTAAGGAGAAGACAAAGAAGTACTCTGTAGGGTACTGGAAGATGAGACCAATCTGTATATCAGAGCTGGCTTTTGCAGACGATGTGGCCCTGATAGCTAAATCAGAGGCACACCTTCAGTACAACTTACTTGTCTGGAAGGAAGAGCTTGAAAAGAAAGGGATGACCATCAGTGTCTCCAAAACTAAAACCATGGTGATCTCAAGAGAGGAGAAGAAACACCAGATCATGATGGGTCAGTATGCGTTGGAGCAGGTTAACCAGTTCAAATACCTTGGAGTTGTATTAGACCAAAATGGAGGCATTAAGACTGAGCTGGCTACACGAAAAGCAGCTGCTGGGAGACTCTTCCAGGCCATAAACCGAGGGTTTCTTAGCAAAAGAGAAATTGGCAAGAGGACGAAAATGGCTGTTTACCGCTCTACCTATGTACCAGTCCTGACCTATGGGTGTGAGTCATGGGCAATGACAACAGCTCACAGAAGCCAGCTGCAGGCCTCGGAAATGAGATACCTGAGAAAGGTGGTCCAAGTGACAAGAAGGGACAAAGTCCGCAATCAGACAATACGTCAAGATCTTGATACCCAGCCCTTACTAACCCGAGTGGATCAGTCACAGTTACGATGGTTTGGACATGTGTGCAGAATGGGAGAAAATCGGCCACCATGGCAAGCATGGGAGGCTAAGAACCAGGGAACCAGACCTCCGGGACGACCCAGGGTGCGCTGGGAAGACAACATCCGACAGTCCCTGACTGACAGAGGACTGGAATGGAACAAAGCCAGAAAGAAAACTGCTGATAGAGACGTCTGGCGATCTCTCTGGCAAACCTCTACACCCCAAGGTAGAAGAGGAGCGACTAAGTAAAGTAAGAATGCAAAGAAGAAGAAAAGATGAAACCCCACTAAATGGTATTTTGTTAAAAGTAAAATTTTTCATCTCCTGTAACACTTAAGGTGTGTGCAGATGCAAGAAATTGTTTTAGCTAGATGACTGGAAAGCAGCTCTTGTAGGGAAGTGGTACCAACTGGAATTGCTGGCGGGCTAGTAAACTAACTTCTGTGTCAATATAGCTCTTAAAATTGAAACAGAATGACAGAGTTTTGTCACTCCCCAGGTTCGGACAATTTGATCATCCTGTGGAACGTAGGAACTGGTGAAGCTGTGCTCCAGATAGACATGCCTGATCAAATATACTCCGGTTCTTTTAACTTTGATGGTAGTCGTTTTGTATGTACGTGCAAGGACAAAAACCTGCGTATACTTGATACACACACAGGGAAGGTGTTACAGGTGAGTCTTGTGTGTGGGTGAATTAAATTTTATTTGTGTTCACCGATAGTAACATTCTGGTTGTCTGTCCTCTTCTGCACTCCAGTCTTTCTTCTTCTTCTTCTTCTTCTTTGCATTCACAGGTTGTAGACTCCGGCGGAAAGTTCTGGTTGTTTCGTCCACATCTGGACTTTAAATTTTTTTATTTCTTTTTTTTTTAAATCTGAGGATTGCCTGCACATTCATTTTACAGATCTGGCTTATTTGTATGCAGGCTGTTGGTTCCTAGCCCATCAGGCCGTCGCACGCTTACCTCGAAGGAAACACCCCTAATTTGTTGATTTTTACGACACACTTGTTGGGGGGGGGGGGGAGACAGTGGATCTGTTCTTTTTTCTTCCACAATTGGGTCAAGCAACTCATTCGAGAAGTGGGAATATGTGAATTCAATCAGCTCAAAAAATTTTAGGAGGTCTGGTGTGCTGCCCCCCCCCCCCCCCCCTACCCCTTTTTCCACATGTATTTTGTAAATTTTGACTAATCAGGAGTTTGCTGGAATCTGATGTGTTGGGCTGAAAGGTGCTGATATCTCAGTCTTGCCGTAAACATTACTTGTTTGTGGGTCTAAGACCAGTGTTGCTTCATATTGATAGACATTACTTTTTTGTCTAAGGCCAGTGTTTTTCATATTGACAAATATTCCTTTTTTTGTGTTGTATGTCGAAGATCAGTGTTGCTTCATATTAATATGATTTTTTTTTTTGGGGGGGGGGGGGGGGTGTGTCTAAGACCGATGTTGCTTCATATTGATAGACATTATTTTCGTCCAAGACCAGCGTAGACTCACATTGACAGACATTACTTTGTGTGTGTGTGTGTAAGACCAGTGCTGAGTTATATTGACAAACATTACTTTTTTTTTTTTATAAGACAAGTTTTGCTTCATATTGACAGAAATTACTATGTCTCTGAGGCCAATGATGCTCAATATTGACAAAAAAATTTTTAAAAATAAAAGAATAGACATATAGCTCCCTGTTTTAGTTCTGGCGCCCCAATATGTTGAAAACAAGAATAGACCCACCCCCTCACTAACAAGCATGTCGTAAGAGTCGACTAATAGGTAGGTAGTTTGTACCCCACTAGGACATCACACAAACGATAACCACCTAGTGACACAAAGTGCCACCATGCAAATGAGGATCACCCCGGAGAGGTCCTGGAAACCCTGTTCAGCCATTAAGCAATATTTTAGACCCGGCTATATTTAAGGCCCCTGGCAAAAGCCAGGATGGGGTTTCAAAATAATTAAAAATTGCATCCCACATGGGGACGAATTTTTACTTAGTCGACTAATTAAGGCAGTGATTCCTAAACTATGCGCTGCGGCCCCCCTGGGAGCCGTGACTTCTTCACAGGGGCGTCGTGAAATATTTTAAGAGACACGAGTTTTATTTTTCGTCTTACATACGAATAATCATACTTTTACTTAAGTTAGGGCGCCGTGGAAAATTTTAATTGAAAAAAAAAAAGATGCCACGACTAAGAAAGGTTTGGGAAACCGTGAATTAAGGGATTCCTTTGAAATCCGAGTGCATCTGCCTGAAATGCAAGGAACCTGAGTCTGCATACAAATAAGCTGAATTTGTAAAAAAAGATGTGCATGCAACACTAAAGTTCTACAGCAAGACTAACATCAAGAAGACGATGAACAACCAGAACTTTCTGCTGGAGTTAACTTCCGGTGAATACAAGGAAGACGAAAAAGAAGATACATTATAATTCTTCTGCCCCTCATCCCCCAATAAACCAAGGCCCACAACCAACTTATGCCACATTGTATCTTTTGCTGTTTCAGTCACCAGGAAAATTGAAGTTTATGAAGCTTGTGCCCTGAGAACGATCCTTTACCACCTTGAAAGCTGGACTCTATATGCTTCTGAAGAAAAAAGATTGAATATTTTTTACATGTCCTGTATGGGACGTATTCTTGGTATATCATGGCTAGACTTTGTCCCCAATGAATGAGTGCTCAAAAGAGCGAGGATGCCAACAGTGTACTTTTTGTTGTTGACGCAAAGATGTCTGCATCGGTTGGAATATGTCTCTCGCATGGAAGATGGTCCCATTGCAAAGGATCTCCTATATTAATTAATGAACCGGTAACAGGGATAAAACCTGCATGAAGAACAAAACTAGGCTATAAAAACATATTAAAAATCAACATAGACACAGACACTCAGCTTGACCCAATGGGTTCTGGTGCAAGGATGTTATATTTATCAGGTGTGCACATTGTCCATACTATCCGACAAGAGTGTCTTTTCCTCACCTCCTGATTCACTGAAATGTGTTTAGTTCTTTCCCATATAGACAAATCATTGGCTGGTTTAGCAGCTGCAGAAATAAATTGTCAGCCATAGTATTTTGAAATGGATGAATGGCTGATTTTAAATATGCGGGAATAAATTATCAGCAGTAAGTAGTATTTGTAAATAGATGATTGGCTAATTTGGCAGATTTTCCAAATTCAGGTTTCATTGGCTAAATCTAATAATTTTCAGGAAGGGAAAGGTCACTTGGGCTCCAAACCTGCTCAGTGTGCATACCTAAAGAATGGCCAGGTTTTTACAACAGGATTTTCTAAAATAAGTGAAAGGCAATATGCACTGTGGGATGAGGTAAGTTGTTATGTTACTGAAGATATTTTTGGCCATTCCATAACATCCTTATCCACTGCAGATTACACCACATTGACGTAGCTGTTAGAGGTGCCCTAATTATTACTTCTTAAGGGCATCTGGAATTTGTCCTGTTGGTCTGCCATTCAGATGGAGATTTTTAAATTTCAGGTTGATCAAACCTTCAGTCATCAGCCCAGGAGGAAACACATGGAAGGAAGGAAGACCATTCCTATTTTCTGTTTGATTACTATTACACTGATGCTATCATCTGTTGCTACAAGACTGAGATAGGAGAAACTTATTACTAGTTCTGGTGTCTCACTGATAACTGTTATGTTATGTAACATTCAGTATTCACTTGTGGACCCTCCTACACATTATTTTGTTTAAAAAATTAAATTATCCAATCCATACTCAACAATTTTTTTTTCAAAAATGACCTTGGCTCCCAGATCGAGCCAGCCGGGAAGTTGAGTGGCATGACCACATCACCCATCTTAAGCCTGGGTGTAGCCCCGGGAAGTAAATGTGCTGACGGCATGGGCGTGATGCTGACCACATGTCACCATGTTATCTTGTGCTGTCTCCTCAAACTTACAAACGATTGGTCTATGTCAAAAATGAATCATAAAAATCGGAGGTCTAGCCCTATATAGACCCTTCCGCGTATAGTTCTATGTTGTGTTGTATGTGCTTAAAAAAAACCAACAGTAAGTTGTAGACTGTTGTATGTGCTTTATTAAGTAAGTTATGTAGTATTGTATGTTTTGTATCCAGCAAGTTCTATTGTGTGTATGCTCTGTTCTGTAAGATGCTGCATGTTCTGAAAGTTCTATACTGTTGTCTATTGTATGTTCTTTATCGAGTAAGTTCTGTAGTGTTAAATAAGTTCTGTTGTTATACGTGTTATTAAAAAGTAATCTCTGGAAGAATGTGTGCTCCAAAGTAATTAAATTCTGCAGTAATGTATATTGTATGTTAAGATTCGTTATGCACAACAAAGACTTTGGCAATTAAAGCACTAAAGCCTGTGATGAAGTAAATAGTTTGCTTTGAATAGAGCCACTGTCCTTTCACAAGGATATTATTAGAGGCGACTAAATACATGTTTTGCTGAAATCTGTTGTGTTAGATCAAAAGGTGCTGATAACACAGCCTAGCTTTAAACTACAACACACAGTGCTAAAAACTCTTTAAAGGACTGATAAGAAGAAGAAGAGTACTGATTTCATTATGTTTACAGTGATAGGCTGTTGTATATTTGAGCCATTGTTGTATATGTTTCTTCTATCCTGCAGAATGACTTGAACAGCCCTATCGTGATAGAAGAGATCGACTCTAGTAACGGTGTCATGTTCATTTTTTACGACCCTGACACAAGCATGGTGTACTTGGCAGGAAAGGTTAGTTGAGTTGAGTTAACCAACACTCCATAAGCACTACATCCTCTTTCTTCAGCGGCCAGCAAAGAGTTCCATTTCCACTGCTACCAGTAGCAGTCTGATTGTATGTCCTTGTTGCCTTTCCTCTGAGTCTTGATTCCCTGCAGCATCATTCTCTGCAGATCATAATGATCTGTTGACACTTACCCTATGTTTGCTTGCTGCCAAAAGGTCTTGCCAGTTTAGTTAATTAAACACTCGGCTGAGCATTTATGGATGCCTCTTTGGATTATATCTTCTTTCTCAAATATTTCTTTTAAATGACAGGAGACTTTTCAGCCACATTAACTCTTCGAGTCCCAGGTGGTTTAGTATCAGAGGCCCAAGGGGTAGTAATAAAATTTTTGAAATTTTACAATTGTCACGCATCAAAGCAGACCATACTAATTCAGCTGGCTCGGAGGCCATATTGTTTTCCCACAGACACTTAATAACTCTGTAAAGTTCACAATCATGCTACATTTTATGCTTTTAACCATGTTTTCAAATATGCTTAATGGTCAGCACATGCGACTTCAAACACAGAAAACGGGAAATACCATTCAGAACTGCCGGTTTGCATTAATATACTGGCCGGTTGTCAGTTAAAATCCTGAATGTGCCACAGGTAATTTGTCGCCCTGGGTAGTAACCAATTAGTGCATGATGTGTTCCTTAGGACTCAGAGAGTTAACAGATGCAGTTCTTGTGTTGATTCTGGGGCCCTGTCTGGATGAAACAAGAACAGACCCGCTGCCCCCAACAAGCATATTGTGAAAGGCAACCAATCAGGGGTGTTTTCTTCAAAGTTGAAGTGCATCTGCCTCATAGATGAAGAATTAACAGTCTGCATACAAGTTAGCCCCATCTGTACAGCTGATATGTATGCAAAACTCAGGTTCTGGAACAAGACTAAAGTATAGAAGCTATTTTTTGATATTTTAAAGTTTCCTCCATCTGTTTACTTTCAGGGAGACAGTATAATACGTTACTATGAGGTGACAGACGAGGCACCTTTTGTCCACTTTCTGACACTGTTCCAATCTAGAGACTCCCAGAGAGGCATAGGTTTTATGCCGAAGCGAGGGCTCAATGTCAACAACAATGAAATCGCTAGGTTGGTTATTGTTTGTGCTTGTTAATGTGGTGAATATCAGATGTTGGAGTTTGGAGTCACAGCATTATCTTCTGGGTTTGCTGAAGCTGTCACAATAAAACACTTCTTCCCAGATTTGTGCAGACAAAAAGATGTGGTTGTAAACATGTGTATACCCTGATAAAATAAGCAGTTACTTGATTGTGGTTGATTTTGTATTTCATTTTAAAGGATTCATTTATTCCCTTCATTTTATTCAACTATTGCTGTAGCATGCACCAGATGAGATACAGTAAAAATGCCAGGCAACACATTGTGCCGTCTGCTGTTTGTGTCTTTATTGTTCAAATTTACTACTGTTGATTGGCACTGTCAAAAGTAGAAGAAATAAATAAAGCTCAGAGGACACATTAAAGAACAAAAATAAGGCTGTAGTTCTCATTCTGAGATTTCTCCTTCTTGGCATTCACTGGCAGCAGGCTCAGAGAGAAAGTTCCAGAACTTGAATTGTGCGTGCACATCCATTTTACAGATCTGGCTTATTTGTAGGTAGACTGTTGGTGCCTTGCCCCTCGGGCAGATGCACTAATTTGACAGAAATCTCCCTAATTACTCGACTTTTACGACTTGCTTGTTAAAGGGGCTGTGGGTTGGCACCCCCACCCCAGGTGGGATACTGGGATTTGAACCTGTAACTTCTAAATGATGACAGCGTCTTGCTGCAGGAACAAGTGGACTCCGAAGCATGGCCAACTATTCACAATTAGAAAAAGTGTCATGATTAGTGGCATCTGTCATCTACCTGAGCTCAAAACTGGGAAATACGAACCTAATGCTTACCCAGCACATTTTTCCTGTGGGTTCTGGGGCCCCATTTACAGGCCCAAAAAAAATAGACTCGAGGAACCAACAGTCTGCTCACAAAATAAGCCAGATCTGTAAAATTGATGTGCACATAAAACTCAGGTTGTAGATTAAGACCAAAGTCCAGAAGTGGATGAACAACCGAAGTTTACAGCTGGTGAGCACGAAGAATAAGATGAAGATTTAGCACATTAATTAATCGAACAAGTTACTTTATCCAGGAATTCATGAATGAAACATGATATTTGTTCTACAGTTATGAATGAATTAGTATAATTTTTTGACATTATTAATAGAGCGAGACATTTTATCCAAGAGTTATAAATGGAACTATAATTTTTGGATGAGTTGTGTTTATCCAAGAGTTATGAAGGAAACAAGGCCCTTGTCAGAGTGGTATGGATGAGTTGTGTTTGTCCCAGAGTTATGAAGGAAACAAGACCCTTGTCAGAGTGGTATGGATGAGTTGTGTTTGTCCCAGAGTTATGAAGGAAACAAGACCCTTGTCAGAGTGGTATGGATGAGTTGTGTTTGTCCCAGAGTTATGAATGAAACAAGGCCCTTGTCAGAGTGGTATGGATGAGTTGTGTTTGTCCAAGAGTTATGAATGAAACAAGGCCCTTGTCAGAGTGGTATGGATGAGTTGTGTTTGTCCCAGAGTTATGAATGAAACAAGGCCCTTGTCAGAGTGGTATGGATGAGTTGTGTTTGTCCAAGAGTTATGAATGAAACAAGGCCCTTGTCAGAGTGGTATGGATGAGTTGTGTTTGTCCAAGAGTTATGAAGGAAACAAGGCCCTTGTCAGAGTGGTATGGATGAGTTGTGTTTGTCCCAGAGTTATGAAGGAAACAAGGCCCTTGTCAGAGTGGTATGGATGAGTTGTGTTTGTCCAAGAGTTATGAAGGAAACAAGGCCCTTGTCAGAGTGGTATGGATGAGTTGTGTTTGTCCCAGAGTTATGAATGAAACAAGGCCCTTGTCAGAGTGGTATGGATGAGAACTCTGATTTACTTTCTTTCATGTAGGTTCTACAAGCTCCACAATACAGGGCTGTGTGAAATTATCCCCTTTACTGTCCCAAGAAAGGTAAGTCTGAATAATCAGAATATAGGCAGTCAATCATTTAACTGTAACTTTTCCTCTGTCTCTGCATGAGCTTTCTTAATTGTTGTGACTTCAGTCGTGAGCAGTGGCTGGGTTTCTCGCAGTTTTGTGAGACTGGTCTCCTCTTTCTGTGCTTGAGTTGCTCTTTTGTGTCTGAATGATGACAAGCACAGCCAGTATGTCTTTCTTGAAATTCGTGATGTCTGTTTCCAACCGCTTCTGGGCTTCAAGAGACGCCTATATAATGCTTCTCACCTGTAACTTCATCCCTTTCTTCATCTCATTGGGATTTAGAGGCTGCTTTCTTGTCTCTTGAGAGTCCGGATCTCACCTTTGAGACACTCATTGTCCAGTTTGGTGGTGATTGCTAATGCAAAACCTTTGGGTGCCTCAGGTCTCCTGCTGGCCTAATGAAATGGCATGTTTCTTCTGGATGGTCGTGGTTGTTATATTTCGGCACTGTTGAAGATAGGGGCTACCTTAGGTATCTGGCGCTGTGCTGGCTGGAGCAGTTTTGGAAACTGTACTGTTTTTTAAAGAGTTAGTTGGGCAAAAGGATTACCAACATGAGAACACTGAAAAGGGGTTACATTCCTTTGTCCACATTCGTCTTTGTGCTGCTAGGCATCACAGGTTAACACATGATCAGTGTCCGAGCTAGGGCATGCTCAGTTGATTGGTATGCTGTGATGTGGAGTCCTCAAGATATCAGTGACTTCTTCAGTCCATATCCTTCCTAGTTGTCCCCTACCTCTTAGTGTTTCTGTTTCCATGATGCACGCTTGTGTTTCTGGCATCATTGGATTCATCCTCATTAAATGGCCAATTTCAGTCTTTATTTTTCAGTAATTCAATTAATTAAAAGTTGTTCCAGTAATTCTTGTAATGCCTTCATTTCTTACAAGATCTCTTTTAGTTTTGTTCACCGCCTTTCCCAGACATCTTATTTCGCATGTGGTCATTTTTCTTTTATGTTTTTTTTAGTAAGTGTCCACGTCTAACGCAAAGTTAGTAAGAAGATTGAATTTATGGTTTGTCTTTTTGTCTCAGTTAGGATAGCCAGGTGTTTCAAAATTAGGGTCAGTTGATTGGGAAATTTTTGGCTTGTGGAATTCTTGTATTCTGCCAACAGCAGCATCAAGTGCCCTTTTCTGTGTTAGTGAGAGATCACAATGTCAGAAACCATTAACACAGTTCAAATTGTAACTAGTGAACTCTGTGAAAAAAGACACACTCAGATACAACATAATGTTATGACAGAAATAGGACAAAGAAAGAAGAAGAAAGTAAGAATCTCTTATCATAATGCTAGAAAATATGTGGAAGTTGAAGGATAATAAAACTGATACTAAACTTAAGTACTGCTGTACTGAGCGGAAACACTGAGAAAAACTATAATAGTTACTAATATACATACAACAACATTCATTATCATTAACTGGTACTCTTTGCAGAATAGAGGGAATTAAATCATAAGACAGCACTGAGCAAATTCCAATGAATCAAGAGTTGAAGAAAAGATGCTGGCATTGGATAGGAAAACACAGAGAAAAACCTGAGAATAAAACTAGAATATTTTTACACCGAAACACAGGTTTATTGACATAACGGTGCACAATAGTACACATCAACTCAAATGACTGATGCAGACAAAAGACACACTCATGAGAAAAAGACACCAAGAATGTCTCTGAGAATCAAGACTGTCTCCTGGACTGTCAAAAGTCACAAAGTCAGAAACAGTAAACATTGACAGAAAAAAAATAACATTCAAAGTGGAACATTGACCCAAAAGAAATAAATATTAACAGTGCAGACGATGACAAGATGAAATAAACAGTGACAAGATAAAATTAACATCCAATGAAAAACAATAAACATTGACAGAAAAAAATAAACAATGATAATGACAAGACACAGATAATGAAAAGAGGAAAATATACATTTAAAATATGAAGACGAGACATCTTATTATGTAAATTTTTGGGTCATTTTGATATTTTGCGTCTTTTTTTGTGTGTTCTTCAGTCAGAGCTCTTCCAGGATGATCTGTATCCTGACACAGCCTCCGATGTGCCTGCTATCTCCGCTGAGGATTTTTTCTCTGGGAAAAATGCTGAGCCAGTGTTGGTGAGTTCATCGGCTGAAAGAACCTTAATCACAAAATCGAATGAGAGTTACATCAGCTGTTTATCATGTGTAGCAAGTTCTTCACAGAACACTGCAGTAATTGTAGAAAGGATTCTCAGTCCTTTACCATATTTCCCTGCCTCGAACATTTTGACGCCTATAACTCCCCAGTGCCTGATCGGTCACTCTGGTGTCTGCTTGCGGGAGGCACCGTGTCTGTCATTGCCTGTCTCGCCATGTGAGATAAATAAATAAAACCATGTGCAGCCCACCTAAAATGAAAAGACACTTTAACAGAGATCATCTGTTTAAGATGGCACCCAAGGAGAAGATTAAAGATTCTACATCCACATTGAATGAGAGTTGTCAGTGCTGGCCATCCAGCAGTGATTGCAAGCTTACTCTCCAGGATTTTTAAATTCTTGTAAATTCCAACATGGAAATTGATGATGATGATGATTTATGGCTCTTCCTCCCAAAGAAGTTGTGTATGGTAAAAAAAAAAAAAAAACCCCCAGTTAAATTGGTGGTCCTTTTGGAAATATTTTACACTGGCATATAAGCCCACAGTGTTGAGCTAATAACTGACTTCACAGTACTTGGGACATTCCCATAAGTGCTCCATCCTCATCTTCAGCAGCCAGCAGAGAGTTCCAATTCTGGTAGTGCCAGGAGATGCCCAGCCCCACCACTGGATATTGTAGCCACTGCTGCTCAAGCAGGTGTCTGTACACTAATAATAACCACTTGAAACACGTGTCTTCCTTTGAAATCAGAGCATATTTGCCTGAGCAGCGAGCAACTAACAGTCATTCATATACAGGTTCTTTTCCTAAAGCTTGTGTACGTGCGTTTGGCAGAATTCTGTATGTTTTTGTGTATGTGCATGAGAGTATCTTTGTCAGCAGGGACCGTAGGAGACAGGAATTGCTGACAGGTGAAGCACTAAGCGACTGAGAAGAAACATGTCAGATAGATGTGGAGGTAACGGTTCTGAAATCTCATGCAGTTAATGTGGCAGTTTCTTCTTAACGTGAGCAGATCTTGCTAGTCTTACTCACCATTGCCATGGGCAGTGATTTCCTTGGCTCCTTATGGCACACTTACTATCATCTGTAAGAACAGAAAGGTGCCAACATGTTTATATATCCATGCATTTATATGTCTATATACATATATGTGTGTCCCCCGTGTGGGTTCCGGGGCCCCATTGTGGGGAAAACAAGAATAGACCCACTGCCTCCCCAAAAGCATGTCGTAAGAGTCGACTAATTGGGGAGCTTCCTTTGAAGTCGGAGTGCATCTGCCGGAGAGGCAAGGAACCAACAGTCTGTATTTAAGAGAAAGAGATCTGTGAAACTGATGCACACGCAACACTCAGGTTCTGGAGCAGGACTGCAGTTCAGAGTGTACAGCTGGTGAACGCGAAGAAGAAGATATATGTGTGTAAGTATGTATATATATATATATAAAAGTTGGTATTTATAGATATGCATAAAATAGCTAGATCTGTACGCTCCACATCTGTATTTGGTCCTCGTACATCTGCAGGTATCACTGAAAGAAGGGTTCGCACCGTCCCATAAAGAACAGCTGAAGGTGGTGAGAAAATCCAATATCCTCGACAAGATGCCTGCCAAGGCAGCACCGCAGCAGCAGCAATCAAACAATGCAGAAGCTGCAGCCGCTCCAGCCCTGCCACCCGTAAGTACAACAGCTTGTTGTTTCAGATAGGGAGGTGGGCATTTGATCAACTGTTGCAGATGAACACTTTCAGGGAATGCAATATTTCTGCACAGGCAGTTATGAAGTAGGCACTGACTGAGCTAGTACATATGAAGCTAATTAATTCTACTTTAATTTGCTTAATTCATTACATTTTTGTGTGTGAAGTCATATTGGTACTAAACATGTAGCTTATTATTTCTAGTTTACTTTGTTTGGTTTACTACCAAACTTTTGAGACTCATTATTATTGGTTTAGCTTTATGACTGAAGATGTCACAGCCATTTGCTGCATGTGTACATAACATTTGCAGAGCAAAGACATTATTTTTGGGGACAAACTAGGGAGATATCTTCTAGCTCACAGTTCACAACTGATTTCTTGAAGTATAATTAGTTTTGTGTCTGAAGGGTGCGAACATGAAAAGATAGCAGTTTTCTTATGTACTAAAAACAAATGTAGTTAATTCCATTTTCATCATTCTCATCATTATGATGCAGTTTTATACCATATAGAGCGCCCAGTCTATTCCTACATTCTGTTGTAACCTGCGCAGTGCTTTTGTTGCAGACGGAATCTAGTCCAGAACTTTGAGCTTCCATCAACAATGTTTATCTTAGGGTTTGTCTTTGACATCCTTGTTCTCTACAGTCCATTTATTTCCCATTTCACTGCTTGTTTAGGGATTCTCTGTCCACTTCTCAGGATGTCTCCAGTATATCACCATCTTCTCCTATAACTGTTGACACAAGCGTCTGTTCAGAAAATTCTTGTATTCAGTTAACTAAACATTTATTTAAAAAGCAATCGGTTTCATAAAGGTTGTTGCAAAGCAGATATTGCCATTGAGATGTGAAGTCTGAGTCCTTCATATTTTCTTGGTCATAAAATATGAGATGGGGAAGTCAGTTCCTTTCTTCTTTGCTATTCCTTCACAGAAAGTTTCTTGACATCAGCTGTGTTTGTCTGAATGGCGCAGATGTCTCAGCCAAATTGTAAACCACAACCCAACCACGTGTTGAACGGTGAAGAAGTGAAGAAGAAGAAAAAAAGGGGAGGGGGTGGGGGTTGTAAACTTCTCCACAAAAGCATATGTTCTCAACTACCAGACAGACTAGAAGTGACTTCCCCCCCCCCCCCCCCCCCCCCACAAAAGCTTATGTTCTCAACCACCAGACAGGCTAGGAGTGACTCCCCCCCCCCCCACAAAAGCTTATATTCTCAACTACCAGACAGGCTAGAAGGGACTTCCCCCACAAAAGCTTATGTTCTCAACTACCAGACAGGCTAGGAGTGACTCCCCCCCCCCCCCCCTTCCCCCCCACAAAAGCTTATGTTCTCAACTACCAGACAGGCTAGAAGTGACTTCCCCCACAAAAGCTTATGTTCTCAACTACCAGACAGGCTAGAAGTGACTTCCCCCACAAAAGCTTATATTCTCAACTACCAGACAGGCTAGAAGTGACTTCCCCCACAAAAGCTTATGTTCTCAACTACCAGACAGGCTAGAAGTGACTTCCCCCACAAAAGCTTATGTTCTCAACTACCAGACAGGCTAGAAGTGACTTCCCCCACAAAAGCTTATGTTCTCAACTACCAGACAGGCTAGAAGTGACTTCCCCCACAAAAGCTTATGTTCTCAACTACCAGACAGGCTAGAAGTGACTTCCCCCACAAAAGCTTATGTTCTCAACTACCAGACAGGCTAGAAGTGACTTCCCCCACAAAAGCTTATGTTCTCAACTACCAGACAGGCTAGAAGTGACTTCCCCACAAAAGCTTATGTTCTCAACTACCAGACAGGCTAGAAGTGACTTCCCCCACAAAAGCTTATGTTCTCAACTACCAGACAGGCTAGAAGGGACTTCCCCCACAAAAGCTTATGTTCTCAACTACCAGACAGGCTAGAAGTGACTTCCCCCACAAAAGCTTATGTTCTCAACTACCAGACAGGCTAGAAGGGACTTCCCCCACAAAAGCTTATGTTCTCAACTACCAGACAGGCTAGAAGTGACTTTCCCCACAAAAGCTTATGTTCTCAACTACCAGACAGGCTAGAAGGGACTTCCCCCACAAAAGCATAGTTTCTCAACCATTGCACCGGCCACCCTATCTTTTGCTGTTTTCTGCAGCACCATTCATGTCTATGCCATGTTGTTTCCTCTCTTGATTCTCTTCTCCGTGTATATTTAGGTATGCCCGTTTTTTTCCCGACCATTACAATGCCTTTTCTTTCACCTCTTGTTTTGCTTGAATTTGTTTAGTTCTCTCCCTAAGCTGTACATTAGTAATCCTGTCATACATCCTATTCTTTCTATCATGTGCAAGCACTATTTAATGAATATTTGCAGTTTATTATGAATTGTTTTATTTTACTGTCAATAAATATTGAATAATTTTTCATACACACATACTCTCTAATGAAGCTGCCACAGGTTTGGCATAGTGAAGTATTATATCAAATGGGTTTAGTACCCTCATACAAATCATGTGATGTTCACAGCAGCTAGTACCTTCATACACAGATACACACATCAAGTGATGTTCACAGCAGCTAGTACCTTCATACACAGATACACACATCAAGTGATGTTCACAGCAGCTAGTACCTTCATACACAAATACACACATCAAGTGATGTTCACAGCAGCTAGTACCTTCATACACAGATACACACATCAAGTGATGTTCACAGCAGCTAGTACCTTTATACACAGATCATGTGATGTGCACAACTAGTACCTTCATACACAGATATACATATCATGTGATGTTTACAACAATTAGTACCTTTATACACAGATCATGTGATGTTCACAACTAGTACCTTCATACACAGATATACATATCATGTGATATTCACAACTAGTACCTTCAGATACATCATGTGATGTTCATAACAGCTAGTACCTTTTTTCACAGATACACACATCATGTGATGTTCATAACAGCGATTACTTTCATACACAGATAAACACATCATGTGATATTCACAACAGCTAGTACCTTCATACGCAGATAAACACATCATGTGATATTCACAACAGCTAGTACTTTCATACACAAATAAACACATTATGTGATATTCACAACAGCTAGTACCTTCATATACAGATACATCATGTGATGTTCATAACAGTGAGTACTCTCACAAATGGATAGAGACTTCATGTGATTTTCACAACAGCTAATACCCTCATAGACATACACTCTGTGATGTTCACAACTTGGAAACTCTATACAAGATCTCCTTGTCCAGGTAGACCCCATGATT